TGGGGTCTTAGGAAACTACTCTTAGCCTGATGTTGTTGTTGTTGTTGTTAAGTGCCGTCGAGTCGGTTCCGACCCATAGTGACCCTGTACAGGGTTTCCGATGGTGTAAATCCTTACAGGAGTAGAAAGCCTCATCTTTCTCCCACAGAGCGGCTGGTAGTTTCGAACCGCTGACTTTAGCCTGATAAGTACTGTTAAATACTTGTGGTCCATTAATGAATAACTGATTATTGAAGACATGAATGAAATTGTACCAATCGTGATTTTAGTATGAAAAACATGTTCTCTGATGGGTTGCAGAGTCTAACGGCATCATAATTTATTTAAACACCAAGAAAATGATTAGTCAGTAGCCCCAGGAGGCCATGTGCCTTCTCACAAGCTGGGAAAGGTACAGTTGTTGCAGACAAAAAGTGTAACTTTAGTTACCACTGAATTTACTTTTAGATTTAGATGAAATTAGGGTCTACTCTCAGGACCTCAGTTTTTGAAAAGAGTAATATAGAATTACAACTCTAAAGCAGTCCTGGTGACACCGTGGTTAAGCACTCAGCTGCTAACAACAAAGTTCGTTCAAACCCACTGATTACAGGTAGTCCTCAACTTACAATGGGGGTCTGTTCTGGTCCCATTGTAAGTCAGTTTTGACATAAGTCAAATACCTTTTTTTTTTTTTAGTTTTTACTCTGTTGTTTATTATCCATCTTTATACACTTAATCTTTGTTTTGGGGGCTAGAAACATTACATGTAGACATCGGAGAGTGAGCATCTGAGAATGACAACATCCACAAATTATGTGCTGCGACACTGTATATAGTACATCTTACTAATGATAAAATGTACAAAACAACAAATCAACCAAACAGATGGTTATAAGAGCTGTTCATTGCAACTGTAACATATTATTTAGTGCTGTCCAGTTAAGTTCCAACTCATTGTAACCCTATATAGGGTTTCCTAGGAGCAGCTAATGGTTTGAACTGCCGACCTTGCAGTTAACAATCCAGTGCTTATACAACAATTCTACCCAGGAAAAAATAACTTTCTTCAGAAAATAACCAAGAAACATTGTAACAAGTTTTGAAACTATGATTTTGTTTCCCCCCCTCTGGAATTTGACTCTGAAAAAGACAGCTTAGTCATATATTTGTTGTTTTTGTTAAG